GTTAGCCGAACAAGCATCCTTCAAGCCATATTTGATGAAATGTGTCTTTCAAACAGTTTGATTTGGAGGAGGTGTACATTCACCATACCTTTCAGAGCTGAAGAAAACTACAGCAACATCTGCTTCATAAAGAACACATTTGTCATAGGATAAGAAGGAAGTGTTGTCGAAAGCACTCAAATCCTTTACTCAATAAAAAGGTACTCATCTAAATAAGTAAAAAAACATCACTAGTAAAAGTCCTGGATGCAAAATGTTATCTTGGTCAAAGTACAGAAGTATTATCAGCTGAAGTCTATTTAGGACCTAACGAGCTGTAAGCCTATAGCTCCCCCTAGTGGCCCTTCACCCTCCCCTTCACCTTTAATGACAAACAACAACAATATATTTCCTGGAATCATCACAGCCTTTTTATTTCTCATTGTCATTAAAACAAACACCTGCAAAGTAATATTTGAGCCAAACAAACCCTTGGCTCTACCAGAATGATCTGATTAATGCAGATTGTTGATTACGTGAAGACCAAAAGGTGTGTCTGTAATGGGACACAAACTGATCATTTCTAAAGCAACACAGCAGAATCAAGCTTGATCGCCCGATTGACGGTTTCAGAAATGTACACCACTTGTCGGACATACCCTCCCAAATGGATGTTGAGATGCATTGGTTCTGTCCAATCAGCTGCAGCGTCCAATGAGTGACCAATACACAATAAGGGGGCGTATCCGCGGTTCATAAAACTTCACTAAAGGACGCTCAGGTGCTTCCTTGCTCATCTTTCCTCGATCCTCACGCTTTGGGATGGTCTTCAAGATGGCACACCAAAAGAACTTCCGGTTAAGTTTAGGAGCGAATAAATGTCCCACTTGGGATGAACCCTAATGCTGTGTCTCAATGTGGATACTTCCCTTCGTACACTGCCATGTTGTGCACTGTGAACACGTGTGCAGTTTGTGAACTTCAACCATAAAGTGTTGTTTTAAATTGCACATGTGATGTTACGACTGTTAGCTAGCTAGCCACCAAGTAACGTTATTGTTTACTGAGTCATTACAGACTACTTAACTAACCCCATTAATTATTTGGTGGCTTCTTTTTGACACTTCCGTTACATAGCCAGAAATAGGGGTAACTTTTTGACCGTTGTGACCAATGCGGGTATTCATAGGGCTTTTGGCGTACTTTTCATTGGGCAACACTTACACATTCTAAAATGCAAATGACTTTCCCTCTCAACCCTCCTCCTCCTCTTCTTCGTCTCTCAGAGCGTTGCGGACTTTCCTCCAGAATTCCCCGCTTCGTTCCTCCTCCCGAGGCCACTCCAGGTAGGTGGTGGAGCTCATGAGTTTGCGCAGTTTGCAGAAGCGTTTCGGTATGTCATCCTTGGACAGCGGTTCGAGCAGGATCAAGATGGCCGCATTACTGCCGGTCTCCCCATCGAAAAGCTGGAAGTGGGAGAAGTCGAGCTCGTAGCGGCACCACTCGGACTGGACGAAGTTCTCGGACAGAATGAAGACGGTCCGCCGGCTGCGCTCCATGGCGCTCATGATGTTGTCCACAATCCAGTGACCGGGAAGGAAGTCCCGTTTGTGGAGGCACAGGGTCAGAGGTCGGGGATTCAGAGAGTCTCCATCGTTCTCCCTGTAAGAGTAAAAACCAGAGAGCAGGTCAAGTTTCTAAACAGAATTTGGTTGATGGTCTGTTTGCCAGCTGCTCATAGAGTCCTTTTTTGAACCTGTAAATGTTGAGGACCCCAACGTTTTATGCTAGCAATGTTTATTAGGGTCCCCAGCACATAGAAACTGCCGGATGCTAACCTGCATATGTTAGGCAATTTGCACAATTAGGATAAGTTGGGTGATTAGCATTGTAGCCCGTGCTGACAATAGTTTAAAAATGCTTGGCTCCGATATGGAAATGTTAGTTTGGTTGGTGATTGGCTAATGGTTACACAAGCCAAATCGTTATGACATCATAAAGTGGCCAAAATCTGATCAGCTCATTTTCAGACAGGTTTTTATATAAAATCAGGACAAAAAGTGAGTAAATATGTTTCCTGAAACTTTCACACATGTTGATGTATAAAATAAATGAAAAAGTGGATTTTGCATAACAGGTGACCTTGAATTAAAGTCTAGTGTGTTTGAGGTTACCTCGGCTCCTCCAGCTCGGGTACCAAGAAGTTTTCCACCCAGCTAGCATCTCTCTCGCTGTACGACACAAAGGCGTCGTAAGATAGCAGCTCTTCTCTTCGTTGTCGCCGCCGGGAGCTTCTCTTGGCCTTTAGCCACGCCCACATCATCCTGATATACCAGAACGCATGAAGGCGCCACAGCAGGACACACACCAAGACGCCAATGATCAACGCCACCACACAACTCACGGACACAAACAAAACCCGCCGGCACACAACCACAGAGAGCCTCACCCGCCCCGCTGGCTCCCCCTGCAGGTAGAGAGGGGAATCGCAGACGTAGGCGTCCTCTCCGTCTGATAAATGCACATCTTCGCCTCCTTTAATGACCGACTGGAGGAAGTAGACAAAGTCGCAGGAGCAGAAAAATTTGTTTTTGCCCGCCCAGAGGTCCTGGAGGCGTTTGTATGCCTGGAGGTCCGAACGGGTGAACATGTTCATGGTGTTTGACTGTGGAAGGGCAAGCAGGGGGTCACACTTATGGTAGGTTATTTTTTCAGAGTTTATTTATTCATTTATTTAACAGGGACAGTGCACATTAATCAACATCTCTGTAAATGTGAGTAAGCCAAGAGGCTATTTTGTATCTGTAGTCCCTGGACAGATTTCACACCAGAAGGAAAGTCAATGCAGAGAAGCGGATTGACGGGAATGGACACACCCCAGTACATTACATGAAGCTTTATGTATCTATGTGCAGTAATCATTTTACTACTGTTGTATAACACACTTAATATTCCATAATTTTACACTCTCTTCATTATATAAATACTGCTGCTTCTTACTCTCTACCCGAATGTGTACTTCTGTCAATTGTAATAAGTCTTTATATGAATGTGCATGCCTTTTATATAAGAGTCTCTTTCTACAGTGTGCTGTAAAAACGTACATTTCCCCTTTGTGCGACGAATATAGGAATTCTGATTCATATTTTTATATTAAAGGTCCCATGTCATGGCCATTTCCACTGATCATAATTCCATTGTTGAGGTCTACTAGAATAGATTTATATTGTGCAATTTTCCAAACTCACTTTGGTTTCTCAAACAGCATCTCTGTAAACTACGTGTATTCACTGAATTTCACTCTCTGCCTTTAACGGCTCGTTGTAGCTCCAGTAGCTCCAGTAGCTCCAGCCCCAAACCTCCCTGTGAGCACAGTGTGCTCTGATTGGTCGGGACGTTGTGAATCGCGCTGAGCTCCGTGGAGGTGTGGTTTCCTTGTTTAGCGATACACAGCGAAACACAGCCAAACTCACCCTTAGCAAACACAAAGTCACAGCCGAAGTAAAAACAATAAGTGTGGCTTGATATTGAGTAAGAAAAAGGTTGATAAACGCTGTGAGAATGGGTCTGCAGAGAGAATTTTGCCGCGATCCCAACTGTCTGTTATCAGCCTG